AATTGCAATAGGCCGTAATCCAAATTAAACGCCCATATTGGCGCAGCAACTACACCGGGAGAGAACGTTGCTATTTTAGAAGCCTCCCACGCGCTCAAGCGCGGGATTCCAGGGGGCTGGGAAAGAATTCTGCCGGGAAAAGGGCAACGCCTCCCAGCGCTCGGCTCCCGCCCCAGAGCCGCCTTGCCAACTGGAGCCTCTATCCGACTCGGCCTCTAGGAAGCCGCTACGGACGAGGGCCAACGAGAGCTCGCCCAAAGGGCAACAAAATCCGACCTAGCACGGTGCGGGCACCGCTGCCACAGCTGCAACTCAAACGTCAGCGAAGCAAGGCCAGCGGAGGTAGCTGTGACCATGGAAGCGATAGAGATAGGAAAGGAGAAAAGGGGCAAAGGACTCGCATCAGAAGGAACGCTTGTCCTGTTCTCTAAACTCTGACCGCCAGTCCCTTTATGGGAACTCGGGTTGCGCCATTAAACCCCAGTATTTTAAATATTTGAGTTGGAAACCTCGAATAAACCTGGACTAAACTCAGACGCGGGACGTGAATAGTAGGTTTCAGCGCAGTTTTCTTCCCTTCCCAGGAAAGCACGAGGCTCATGCACTGGGCTGTAATGTGCAGGAAAGCTTTTGCTCCTTTAAAATAACGCGTCGTTCCAAAGGTCAGGGATTCCAGTCTGTTTTCTATCTGGCGATGTTGTCGTAGAGGCCGCAAGCACTTTCTGTTTCCTCATCTAGCTATGCTCAGGCTGGTGTGTTTACTGTGCAGTAAACGCCCTTGCTAATTCAAAGCGAACTCGGAAGTAAGCTCTGCTATGTATATGTCTAGTTTCAGCAATCTATAGAGAATACGGAAGCAAAAGTGATTCCGCAAAACGCCCGTGCGTTCCTTTCGGGTGTCGTTCGATAACACGAGATTTACTGCAATAAAAGGTAATATAAAAAAAATTCAGTACCTCCTCTGTTGTTTTATTCCTGTAGCGCTTTAAGGGAATAATGCTGGATATTAGAAGCTCCCGCTGATCCTTTGCATATTTCCTGCGAATTGCGTCTTGCTGGGTCTAATGGGACGCCTGCAAACGATCCAAAGTAGTCAACCTTCAGAGTTTCGAAGTCCCATTTCGTTCCTTTTCACGTTGCTCTTACAACTCAGTCCCAATGGCGTTTGTTTATAGTAACTTTACTTGGCCTTCTTGGGGCTTACTCCCCCCTCCCCAAGACCCTTGGGATTGCTGCTTTGCGGAGCCCCGTAAGGGCTCGGACCTGTTACTCCCTCTACTGTACTCAGTACTACATGCCTCTCTGTGACTGGCTGGAGGCACTTTCTTGCAAGGCGCTTAAAATCCTGTCTTTTGCCAATCTTCTCATATCAGTCATTTGGCCAGCCCTCTAGAGATGAGCACAGACAAAGATGAGCTGCTTTGCACGCCAGTCGATAATGGAAAAGCCGCTCCTGCTGCTGTGATGGAAGATGAGAATAAACTAGCTAAGCAGAGACCTCAGCCAGAGAGCAGAGCTCGCGCTGGTCCCTGCAGTGCAACGGTGGCAGACAATACGAAGCGATTTAAGCTAAGTAACGTCCAGGCACAATCCATCCAAGAAAGGTAAGCGACATGAAATAGTATCTTTAAAGCACCAATTTTGCTTGTATTTCTAACAGACCAGTGTAATCTCGTTTGATGTAGGCTAAGTAACAGTGGCACCACTTTTAAAAAAACAAACGATAAGATTTGGGGGAAGGGATATTTTGTATTCTGTATTTTTGCTGTTTCTTTTATCAACTTCTCTCCTTATCCCACTTCTGTGCTTTTGAATAGTTTATACAAGTTTAGCTGCTGAATTCTTTGGGCCCCTTATTTATAGAATGGCTGCTGAGCTAGCTGGGTGACTTTGGGCCAGTAACTCTCTCTCAGCCCAACTCACCTCATAGGGTTGTTGTTGTGGGGAAAATAGGAGGCGGGAGGATTAGGTAAGTTTTCCACCTTTATTTTTATGTTTATTTATATATACACACACACATGCATACATACATACACACTTGCATACATGTGTATAAAAATAAAAAAAGGCAGGATAAAAATATAATAGTAATAGTAACAATAAGTATTGTGGGGTAATTGACCTACCACAAACATGTTTGTACTTTTCTGGCTTAATCATCATGGGTTAGTAGGATGCTGTGATTTCCCCCATCCCATCAGAAAGTATCTATTTTATTATTCTGAATAAGTGAAAGTCAGAGGAAAGAAGGGGATATGTGGAAAACTGCTGTATTGTTCTTTTTCTTGTTATTACTATTACTACTTTACATCTGCCTTCCTTCAATCTAGTCCTATCCAGATGTATTAGACTACAATTTGCAGAATTTCTAACCAGCATATAGTTGGCTATGCTGGCTAAGAATTTGGGAGTTGTAGTTCAACATCTCCTGAAGGCAGTAGGTTGGAGAAGGCTGCTCTGCTTGTTAAGAAATATGAATGGCTGATAAGATCAGCACTGCTTTTAAAGTAAAACTCATATAAACAAGATTAATCTTCCAAATCTTGAATGGCATCTTGGATATCCATTAATAGACTTTGAATATGATCTTACCTGAAGTATTGGAAACAGTGATGGGCAATAGGCAATCAAATGATATTCAATTGCAATATGCTTTTAGTTTCTCCATTTTTCTTAGAATAATCATTTGAAGAGTAAACATCATACAACTTTGAAAATGCAAAATTTTCCTGAGGTGGAACATTTTCTGGCCATATTTCTGGCTTAGAGGCCTGCTAAGGGGAATATGGGCCATTAATCATTTCTGGCAATACAGCAAGAGTTCATTAAGCCTCCTGCCTGGAACTGGAGACAAGGTGGTGACAGATTGAGAAGCATCTGGCCATCTTCAACCAGGGGATTGCAAGTTGGTCAGGTCTGGCCAAGCAACTCTCCCCAGATCTAACATTTGCATTAAATTTAATTGTACAGTATAAGCAACGCGGAACGTACATATATGCCTATTTTTCTCATAGCCCTGGGATGTCACAGCCAAAGGCAAGGAAGGCATCAGGGCCTCCAGTTACCACAGAAGAGAAACGAAGGAAAGGGTTTTTTAGCATACCATTTTCTAAAGGCAAAAAAGAAAAAGGCAGTCCTTGTGATAAAATGTCAAGCACAAGCATCAGCCACAAATTAATTGCCAATGAAGACAGTGCATGTCACCTGCAGAGGGCTCAAGCAGATGTCTTGAAAACATCTCTGGTCCATCAAGAGAAGTATCTCAAGAGGAAAGAACAGCTGCCTGCGTCAGTCATCCCGTGCCCAATGGAGTTCTCTGTCGACTTGTGAGTTCACGCCATCAGTTTCACTGTGAACGCTTATTTCAAAGTTTGTGATTTGGTTAACTGAAGTTTTGCAGGTGCTCAATATATGCATGGAGTCTTTTATTGGTTCATGTGTGGTAGGATCATAATGTTGACTCCCTGCAAGCTGTGTTTTGCAAAAGAGAAACACGAAGTTGCTTTCTCCACTTTCTGGCATAACTTCTTTCCACATCCCTGTTATTAGATTTAAGACTTAAGACCATTATTAAGTGTATTTACCTCTTAATGTTTGCAGTCCTAACTCCTTTGAAGCCTTGCTTTAAACACTAAAATTTACTTAGATTTGCCTAGTTTTGTTTTCTTTCACTGAATTTCCCTATGTTGGGATCAGACTTGCAAAACAACACATTTTCAGCAAATCTGCATATTTGGCATTCTAATTCTTTTCGATCTTTCAGTAATTACAAGTATTTTAATGGCTTGTAAAACCACATAGGATTAGGTCACCTCATGCTAAAGATTTGTGTGATAACACCCTGGTGTTTTTCTTCCTAGTCCAAAATGTTGAGCCTTGGTGCAAAAGTTCTCAAAGCCATTAATACAAAAATAAAAGCAATACGAGAGAAGGTGAGGCCTCTACAAACAGTTGTGACTAAAATTTCTGTAATGGTGATATTTATTTTTTATTTTTTATTTTATTTAATAGACTTGTCCCCGCCCATCTCCCCACAATGGGGGACTCTGGGCGGCTTACAACAAACTAAAATAAAAAATACATAATTAAAAGGTATAAAAACCAGACATTACAAAGATAAAAAGGCTAAAAAATCCAAGAGGCCGATAGGGGCCACAACAGCTAGCTTATTGTACAGTCTCTTTTTTTTCTAATGTTCAAATTAGTCATTTTATTTAATAGACTTGTCCCCGCCCATCTCCCCACAATGGGGGACTCTGGGCGGCTTACAACAAACTAAAATAAAAAATACATAATTAAAAGGTATAAAAACCAGACATTACAAAGATAAAAAGGCTAAAAAATCCAAGAGGCCGATAGGGGCCACAACAGCTAGCTTATTGTACAGTCTCTTTTTTTTCTAATGTTCAAATTAGTCTTATACTGAAAATCAGCAAGACTTGACAATTGCTAAAAGAAAATTATATGTTGAGTTCTGTTGTTCTTTACAATATTCTTAGACTTACTGTTGATCTACTGTAATACCTGGGAATTCCCTTCATCAAATTGCCATGCTTATATACCTATATATACACACACACACACACACACACACATTCCTCTACATACACATGCAGGTAGACCTCACTTACTGACCACCTCATTTAGCGACTGTTCAAAGTTACGACAGCACTGAAAAAGTAACTTTACGCTCAATCCTCACATTTATGACCTACGCAGCATCCCCATGGTTATGTGATCAACATTCAGGCATTTGCCATTTGTGTGCATAGCAACTGGCTAATCAAAATAACCTATTACTATCCTGATCCAAAATGTCCAGTGAAGATCGAAGTGGCTGGGAGGATGCTAGATTGGTGAAGATTGAACAGCTGATAAAATGAGTCCAGTGCAGTTCTTAGGAGCTTAGTCTTTTAGACAAAGAAGTGGAGTACCAGTCTGTGAAAGTTAAAAGCTACTTTTGTTTTTCAAGTCCTTAAAAATCACAGATTGCTGTCTTCTCCTGCCCAGTGGGATGACTTAGCATGCATTTTGATGGTGAAGATGTGCCTACCCTTGAGCATCCTTGCAGTTTGCTCAACAGACTCCTGTAAGTAATTCTGTGTTCATTTTACTATCTTATGCACGTGGTTACACTTTGTTTGACACCAAGTTGGCTGTTGCCAGTACTTTTTCCCTCTGAAAATTACAGCTATCTAAATTAACTTTTTTTTGAGGAGGAGAAGCAGGGTTGGATTCAGAGATGCACACATTGGAGGATTTCTCAGAATTTAGGAAATATTATTTGAGAACTAGTGGAAGATTTTTTTGTGACATGGGTGTGTAGGACCTCTATATAATTTGAAATGCTATGCAAAAATTTGTGCAGCTCCTTGACACAACAAAAATATCATTGATTCTTGCTCTGTTAGAAAAAGACCAACTTCACTCCACTGTTGTGGGTCAATACAACAATATTTGAGTATTACTCTTAGTATTCATTTATGCCCTATGTGCCTAGATCCAGGATATTTTTTAAGCCACATAACAAGCTGGCTATACTAACTAGAAATTATTGGAGTTATTCTGACATCTAGCAGGTACCAGGTTGGGAAAGGTTCATTTAAAGCAGTGGTTCTTAAACTGGGATTCATGGTGCAATTTGTAACTGCTTATTTGTGAGTTAAGGACCCAGTTTGGGACTGCCGCTGCAGAGACACTTGGGTGAAACAAGAGAGTCTGTTTTTTTTGTGTGGGTAATGACATAATTTGAGACCAGGAAAAGGGGTAATTGAGTCAAACAGTTTAAGATTTAAAACAAGATATAGTGCTGTAAGTGTGACATCCAGACTACCATAAATCTACTTGTGGGAATATTAATCTTCCTGTAGTATCCTTTGAAAAATCATTCATAAAGAGATAAGAATATTTTTCTTCTGCATCTGATATTTTTAAAAGGACTACCACCAGAAGTAAAAATCGGAAAATCCTTTAGGCAATTTTCCATTAAAGCATTTCAGGTGCACACACAGGGTTGTTTGGATTTTGGCTACAGGATATATGTCATCTTATTTTAATTGACTGGGGGGAAAAGCCTCATTTGAAGTCAGTTGCTCTCAATTAACTGAACATCCAACATAGGGCACAATCAAACACTGAGAGTGGAGCACAAGGACTTTCTTTCCTTTTTCTCTCCATGGTGGTATTTTTTGTATGCTTTTTTCAAATATGCTGAAGAGGGACCAACACTCTGGTACTGGTTTTGAGGGTATATTAAAGTTAAGTGGGAAATCAAGTGGAATATTAGCTGCTTTCTTATTAAAATCTTATTTTAATTCCCCTTTAAGGTTTTACTATCACCAACAAAATGCATTCTAATCTGGGAGGCAACAATCTGTTAGAGATTTTAGTCCAGAGGAATAAAGGTATGTCTTCAAATTATTTACTTCTGAGGAAATGTAATTTGGAGTACTTGCAACATGTTTAAGGAGTTCCCCCTTCCCCTTTCAATGCATATATACATGATGGTTATGTGCACTTTGAAAATGATTAAGAAGCAGCTGAAAAATGATGTTGCTACTTCAATTAGTAACAGCAAAGTGCTGCATTCATGCTCATTCCAAAGCACTTCTGAATCGTTTTCAAAGTACGCGCTATCCTAATATCAGTTACACATGCATTTAAAAAGGGCATGGGGAGAAATTTTTCAATATGCTGGAAGAACTCCAAAATATTAATGAGCCTGAAAAAAGATGTGTCTGCTTTAAGTATCGTATTAGTTGACTCAAGTCACCTCCTTTTTTTCAAGTTTGGGCACAAGCTTGAAAAAAGATACAGTTGCTTTAATGAGTAGCAGAGAGGTGCTGCATTTCTTCCTAATCAGTTTTGCAGCATGGACAACCTTAGTTGACATCCATTGCCTGGGAAAAGATGCCTAGCTCCTTTTGCTGAGAAAGATATCTCTGTGAATTCAGTCTTTCCTATTACGTGAAGTGTATATCAATGTTGTTGCAGAGAGGAGGACCTGTACCGTGATGCGGATGAAATAGAGAGAGAGAAAGTGTTACTTGAGAGTGGGACAGACTCTCCAGGTACATTTCAGAACTACTTATTTATGGCATAAGGCCTTAGCTGGATAACACATAAATCAACACCCAGCACTTGGTGACTTTTTAAAAAAATTGGTATGCCTTTCAAGATCAGTTTTGCCCAGGGCAGCTTACAAGACCTTAACATCCCAATATAAAAATATGGAGTAAAAATTAAAATACACAATAAAGATATAAATTGAACTGCGCAATAGAATAAATAATAAAAGCAGCAGCCATAGTAATTACTTTTGTACACAAATATACAGTGTACCGAAAGTCAGGCCCCATAGGCCAATAGATGATCTAAAGGATACCATCACATTAGAATGTGTGAATATCAGAGAAAATGTTCCTGTACTTAAGAATGTTCAAAAGTCACGTCAAACGAATAAGAAAATGTTAAGAAGAAAATGACAACCAATTCCAACATTTAATGTAACTTATCTAATAAATTGTCAATGGGGCCTGACCTTTGGTACACCCTGTATATTTAATGCTGTTTAGAAATGGGGGCCTTGTCCCTTTGCAAGGCTATTTCAAAGAGGTACTTCATGCAAATTTTCAATCCCACAAAGCACTTCTTCAGAGATTTGCACAGCCATCATTCATAGTACCCAGTTCTAGTTAGTACTCTTGCTGCACAATTTTGTACTAGTTTCAGAGGCAGTCATATGTAAAGCATTGCAGTATTTAAATGAAAAATTACCAGAGCATGGATTATTATCATGAGATGGTTTCTGTGCATATACTGTCATATCTGTTTTTGGTGCATCTGCATGCAAGACAACCCCTTATGAGTAGGGAATAAATGGAAGCTCCTGTGAGACATTAAATCTGACAGATGAAAAGTGTATATATTTTATTCCAAGGAGGATCAAACATTCCAGGTAAAGGGTATCTGCAGCTGACAGAAGATCCTGGCCATCTCCATCTGCACGTGCCTATACTTTTTAAAGAAACGTGGAATTGGGTTTTCTGATGTTTTACTTAAATGTAATTTTCTTGTCTTAATTAAATTCAGATTTTCCAGAAAATAAACTAAGTGTTGAACCTGAAGTAGATATCATGGATTATTCCCAAGAAGAGTGGCGAGGAAACACATCCTATGCTGAATGTATTCGGAAGGTCTGTTCTCCTGTTCCTCTGCTGTAGGGCATTTCACTTTTCGGGATCCAAATCCTAAATTTTCTTATCTTGAAAATAACAGTAATAAACATATACTAATGAAATCTCAATGATTAATATTTACGGAAAAGACAGATGTTAGGATACTTCAAATAAGACAATGGGTGCTAGATACCTTTACTTAGATATCAATGATTATAAATTCTTTATGTTGAGGAAATTGTTCTTCATATTCCTGGTAATTGCAACTTTGAAAAATAAAGTTTAGTTTTAGAAGCTATAGAGGATATGGCCTTTTATTTCAATTTAATCAAATTTATATGGTCATTTTGTACAAAGATGCAGTTTGGGAACTGTTATTGCATATAAATAGCTCAAGGTGCACTTCTCATTGTGGTGTTTCAATGCGGCTTGTGTTTACACAAGTATGCAATCATGATTGGATTCTTTTTGTTCAGACTGAGGGAGAAATTTTACTGGCCAGGCAAGCTGTAAGGCATTTATTATATTTATTTTATATGGCCACCCAACTTTAAAATTGTGACTTTGGGCAGCTAACATAGGATTAAAAACACACACGAAAAGATAAATGATGAATATAAAAAATGAATGTAAAAACCATGAAAGCAGTACATAAAACAGCATAAATTGAGGCCAAAGCATTTTTCAGGAGAGCCAGTTTGGTGTAGTGGTTAAGGTACCAGGCTAGAAAGCAGGAGACCATGAGTTCTAGTCCTGCCTTAGGCACAAAGCCAGCTGAGTGACCTTGGGCAAGTCACTCTCTCAACCCACGAAGGAGGCAATGGCAAACCACTTCTGAAATCTTGCCAAGTGCAGGGACTTGTCCAGGCAGTTGCCAGGAGTCAAAAACTGAATTGAAGGCACAAAAAACAAAAACATTTTTCAGATGGGCTCACCCAACATCCTGTCCCAGTGCTAAGGGGAAAAACCAAGTTTTTAAAGCCTTATGGAAGCCAACAGGAGCAAGTCCATCCAAATTTCAGGATGGGATGCTATTCTGCGTACAGTGACATAGATGATAGAGGTAACCTGAAGCATGGCCACTCTCTCAGATCTTGTGGGACAGGCAGACACAGTTGGAGATAGGTGGCTCTGCAAATAACCCAGCCGTGTTCCATGAAGGGCTTTATAGGCATGATCTTGGCCTGGGTATCTAAGGGTCTTGCAATTTGAAAAAGAGAGGAAATGGCTAATCTAATTATGCATCTTAAAGTATTTTATCAGCTTCTGTTTACATAATGGCTAAGAATCAAATTTTGTTTTTAATATGTAAAGAAGATAACTCTGGAATTCCCAACATTTAATTACTTTCCAATTTTGGAAGTGGGTGGGGATTTTTTAGGCAATTGAAATTCTAGTTGAGGTGGATAGGAAGAAAGGAGAGCAGTGTTTCTCAAACTTGGCAACTTTGAGACATGTGGACTTCAACTCCCAGAATTCCCCAGACAGGATGTTTGAGCTGTTAACTTGAACATCAAACTGGTGCTTTATCTTGGTTTGTTTAAAGGAGCTTAGAGTAAAGCTCAGTTCCATTGAGTTCATGTGGTTAGATTAAAAAATGTCATTGTATTTTCTTCATATTCAAAAAGAAATATCAGAGGGGGAGGGGAAGATGTGGTTCTAAGGCCTCTTGGGCCTCATTCCCAGTAATCTAAATTGTGAATTAGATTATTGTTTATGATTGTTTAAATTTGTTTAAATGGAGCTGTTACATTAGCAGGGACCAGCAGTCTTTTCAGGGGATAGTGCCAGCATTTGAATTTGTGTGATGATACAAATGCCTATAATTCAAACTTTTTTTTAGAGTTAGATTTTGCAGATTGCCAAATCTCATGAGATTTCAGCCATTTTTAATTTTTTTTTTTATTAATTTGGGGACTCATGCTATTTGGGAATATTGTGGATGATACGGTACATGTATTCAGCAACAAGTTAGCAGTTGTAAGTTAATGGGTGATTACCTATAAATCAAGCTCCTAGCAAATGTTGAGGATTGGCTTAGAATTCTAGGTAACTTCTGCATGGCAACTCCATTATACTGTTGAGTTAGGAACTTCTCTATCAGATTGTAATTTTTATTTTTAATATAGGGCTATGAAGCTGTTTCACATAAATTTATTTCAATAAGAAGAGTGCGAGGAGATAATTACTGTGCTCTCCGGGCAACACTATTTCAAGCACTCAGCCAAGCTGCTCAACTTCCTCAGTGGCTCCAGAAAGAAGACCTGATGTTGGTAGGCTTCAGACTTCAACTACTTTATTTCATAGGCAGAATTATGATAGATTTTGCTTTGTAGTGTTGTTTGTTGGCCGTAGATGTTTATCAGAATACTGGTGCATTAAAAAAAAAAAACTAGCTGGCTTGTTAAATAGCTTTAGGCTTCTGGGAATAAGAAACTCTTAATCATCTTTTCAACTTTCTAGCACATGTTAACCATTTAATATCTGAACATTTTAGTTACCAGAAAAGTTGATGGTCAAATATGAATGGATTACTCAGTGGCGACTCAGGCACATGTGGACAAGTAAAGTGGAAAGTCTCATGGATGAAATTAAAGATTGTTTGATGCTACTAAAAAGAAAGGTATGAAAAATTATGTATGAAAATGAAATAGTTGCAGCTTAGCAGTTTTGTCTATTCAACCTGATTTCTAAACATATAAAAGTGAAGCATGTTGGAATTAATTAATTCCATAATTAATTAACTAGACATTGATCACAGTTGGGTGGTCCTTCAATTGCTACATGGTTGTTTAAATCTGTTTCCAGAAGTAAGTTGTGGTAGCCTGTTGTGACAAAAGCAGAATTTTGTAGCACCTTAAAGACAAACAAGTTTATTATTAATTTCATCTTGGTAGACATCTTTAATAAGTCTACAGAAAATACATCATTAGGGGCAGGATTGTCAGAGAGAAAATGAAATGCAGAAAGTACTGGGTGATTGTTTCCTTATTAATCATGGCCACTCACCAAACAGTTTTTGGAGGTCATACAGCCACCCTTGTATTGGTGAGCAGAAATATATACAACTTGAAAAACACTTGAGCTCATGCCACAAAGTTGGACTTATTGATGAATCATACGGGCAAGTTTTTCCTACTGAAATCTACTTTAAATTCCCTTTGTTCAAGAATGGCCAGCAAAGATCACTGACAGAGTATAATGAAAGGCTGAAATAATCCCCAATTAGTTAAATATTTCACCTTTGATTACAAATCTGCATCAATGTATTCTTTGTATAGAAGTTAACCACTTTGTCCTAGATAGAATGTAGTTGGGCATTGCTGACAAATGATATTGGAAAAGAACCAAGAACATCCACTGAAGTGAAATGTAATTCAGAATGCTGATCTAAGACTCCTTATTTTGTTATTGATACATATAGATTAGCTTTTATAAATATTTCTCACATGCATTTTTATTGTTAGGGTAATATTCTCTGCACAAGAAAGTTTTGAAAAGGTGGAAATATAGATCTATTAAATAAATTAACGATCCTCCCAGATTGCAGCTCACACATGTCCCTTTGTTTTCCATGAGAAGTTTTGGGGACCTGTCTTAAGCTCATTTTGCTATGGAGAAAAATAAATTTGGGGAAAGGGTTCTGAATGATACATCATTTGCACGCTTAGCCTCTTCTATAATGAAACTTTTCCGAGTTTAGTTTCAGCTAAATTGCTTTATTTGAGAACACGAGATAGGATATTTTTATTCAGGGTAGGGATAGGAAACTGGATGTCCTCCAGATATTTGGGACTTTAACTTCATGAGAATTATAGTATAAATCTAAGTAGATTTTAGCCTTTTCCTGTAATTGGTAAACTGGTCATTGGCACGTCTATTAAGAATTCTCTTTTCAGTGTTTTTTGCCCCTACCCTATGACCATTACATGGTATCTAAAGACATAATTGGTTCTACTTTGCAGAAAAGGTCCAGACTGGATTATTGTTTTGTGACACATTTATTGGTGTGCATCTAACTGAATCTTCATTTTGAAAGTATTTCGAAAAACATTTTGAGAAAAAGTGAATGTCATTATATAAAAATAAAAATAGATCCATATAAAAAACTGCCATAAAAATCAATAATCTAAGTATGTGTTAGACAATTTAAATGTTAAATAATTTTTGCAATACATATTTCTGTATTTCATTATGATAGGTCATGCTGTCATTACCAATATGGAGATTGTTTATTAATATATTAGGCACTTTCCTTTTTTTTTTAGCAACGTACTGTATATTTCATAAAGTAGTTATAGTTGATCGTGACACTTCTCAGTAATTGGAGAACATTATCATAGCTCAATTATTAAGTTAAAAATGAAGTCATCTGTATCATAGTCAGAGAATATTCAAGGCTACCAATTGATTAAAGACATTAAGTAGTTGATGGACTATAAGCCAAGGTCTCAATACCAATTGTGCTGAAGGGTATCAGTTCTTTTCACCAGGGACATCTTTTCATCCCAGCTATCTAGTCATTGTATGTTTCCTGTTATAGTGGAAAAATATGAGTGACATGAAGACCTTTGTAGAGAGGCAAGCAGCCTGTGACGAGCTTTTCAGAAGTGAGGAAGAGGAATACAAACTCTACGAAGCGGTAAAGTTCCTTATGCTGAGCACCGCCATCAAATTGTATGAAGACAGTGAGAAGGGCAAAGAGGTCCCTGTGTTCTCTTGGCTTTTGTTTGCTCGTGATACATCCAGCAATCCTTCCCAGTTAATGGTAAACCACTTGAATCAACTTGGCTACACGGGAGGCCTTGAACAAGTAAGCACAATTCTTGCACTTATGGATCTAATATTTAATACCTACTGTAAAGGTAAACATTAATCCAGTAAAGGAAAAGGTAAATATTAATCCAGTACAGTCAATAGCCTAACAGATCCCAGGAGGGCTTGATCACTACCACAGTCCAAATAGAACTGCAGGAAATTTGTACAGCCATTGGCCTAGTTAGAAGCTTAACCTCTTGGCTATGCTGTAAACATCTGCCTTTTCCCTATTCCCTCCTGTAAGGGGGGAAAAAAACCTACTTTGAATGTATGGTAGCTTGGTATGAAATGGAGATACTGGAGTTTAACTCTCTTAGAATCTGTGGACTTTATATTAGGCAGCTGGCTTTGATATAACTTTTGATTTACTTAATTGTATTTAAATACCAGTAACGCCACCTGTTACATAAAGTATTCCCAGACTGTATTCAGTAGAGATCACTTCTAATCTGATTCAAATAATCAGTTAAGTCAGAAAAAGCAAGCATATATGCAGGAGGGTTTCCAGCTCATTGAATCACTTCATATATGTTTGATCTGATGAGTCAGTTTAATTTTCCAGTTTAGCCAGCTGGATTTGGAGATTCTAAATCTAATCTCTGTATCAGTGTTGCACATCCCTAATGTTCAATGTTTAAAATCCCCTGTTAATATAACATATATATTATAAACTAAAATAATATGATAGTGGCCATGAGTAATATGTCAGATGCTGAGTGAATAGAAGTGTCTTCTGCATACATCTGAGTTATAACAAGGTTGGCATATGATGTAATTCTTGTGGGGAGGCTGTTCCAGAGAATAAGCATTACAGGATGCCTTCCTGGTGATGAAAAGTATATATTCACAAGATAGGGCCTAACTAGGAGAGCTTCTGTTGATAAATACTGTGGTTGGGCAGATCCATATGGAAGCAGGAGTCTCCAATATTCTGTTTCCAAGTGAGATCATACTTGTAAGATCATACCGAAACTTCACATGCTGTAGCAAATTGACAGCAGTCCAGTTCTATCAACAGTAGTATACAAGGTGACCATGTGCACAGAACAGCAGTCTTCAAACTGAATGTTGTTTTTGTTGCTGTTTTCACACCATGCATGCAGGCAGCCCCATACAGAGCACAAAATAATAATCAAGATGTGAAGTTACAGTGTCTGAGTCATTGGGGCTAAGCTATTTCTTTCAAGAATGACAATAGGTAGCATACATATTCAATGCTGTAAAAGGTGTTAGTGTCACCACAACCACTTGGATCTCTTGTGGCAGGTAGTTCTAGGAGTAGTCTGCAAGCCAGGATTCTGTTATTCCAGAGCAAGTGCAACTTTAAGATGCAGGAACTGCATAATTTCAGAACCTGTGTTTCAACAGGCTGAGTTTATAGTCCCCATTCAGTCCATCATTTATTTCCTTAGAACCTGCAGGGTCTGTTCTGATTTATATGGTATTCATATGGTAGAGTCAGCATATTGATGCTGCTGCTGTAAATCTCTTAATGACTTTGTAGAAAAAAAATGGTACAGTGGTACCTCTAGTTATGAACTTAATCCGTTCTGTGACTCTGATCGCAAGTCGAGTTGGTCGCAAGTCGAGGTAAATT